TACATGCCTGCCACTTAAAGAATATGGCCAGAACACAGCAGAAGATGTCCTGGTGCAACCAGGGCTGTTGCACATGAGTTAAGGATGGGGAAATGAGCTGGAGGAGGTAACAGTGGAGACCTTTTTGTAAGTGAGAAGCAAAAATTCTGTTAGTGTGCGACAAAGTGGTTGAGGATCACAAATCATCAGCTCTGTGTCTTATGGCTGCTTTCTCCTTACACATTCCTTAGGTTGCTGGCTTAGGCAAGAAACCTGAAGTGCAAAACTAACCCCCCCACAAAAACAAACATCCTTTATAATCTCTTTTGTCACTTCTGCAGAAAATATGCTTTCCTAGTTTTCAATACTAGAATGTGGACACCAGATCTACTGTCCGAATAAGGCAAAATTATTTTCGGCGATCTAAACTGAATTCACTTTGGGATGCATCAGCGTCTTTCAAACTGCTGGTCTGCTGAGAAAGCAGGTGCCATTTCAATGCTCTGCAGATAAAAAAGCACGTCTCTTGTTCAGCTGTGTTCAATAAGGGTTCTGCTAAACAAGACAGTGTTTCCCATCTTTATTCCTGGGGACACAATTCCTGTGCAGATTTTTTAATGTCATTTTGTAATGTTTCTAAATCGAGGTTGGGAATTACTCATTAAGTACAGTACCGTAGGCAAAGAGTTTTTTCCCTCATATTGTTGAGAAAGTGCACACTTGGATTGTCTGGAGGTCTACAGGACTAATGCAGGAAAACAACACTGGAACACAGACCGCAGTGTTCAAACGAGTGCCATTAATCACATAATCGCTGACTTCCACAGGCAATGAGTGGGAGCTACATGCTTTCAACTGTATACACTGGTAGCTTTACCCACGACCAGAACGATTTTTCTAAGAACAGTTCTGCTCATCTGGAGCTGGACTGCAAGACAGATTTGAAATTTGAATGCAAAATATGAAATCTGAAAAGGTCTGTTTGTGAGAAATGTACTGTACAACATGTTGTGTGACAGTAAGACAAACAGATTCCCACTCACAGTCTGATCACCCAGGAACCAATAGGCTGAAGATGGATATCAGTCTTCTACTCACAGGTTTGACCTATAACCTTATACACAGTGAGGAGTGAGGGAAATTATTAAAGAATCTTGTTCCTCTGACCTCTTTCGGAAATTGCATTTTCATTATTACATTTCTCATTTCATATGAAACCCTTGTCCTCACAAAGGTCAGTAAAACCTAATATGTTGCTTAATCCTCCTCCATTTAACACTAATCGTTACAAAGACATTCACAGTTCTGTGCATTCATTCCATTTTGTTTAGAACATCAAGACAATCTTAAGACGAGTCTAAGTCAGCAAACTAGTAGAACCTTTTCTTTTTAAGCTAGGGCATGAAAATTGTACCATGGGACAAAATGGTCAAATCTGCAAAAATCCAGAGAAGTGCTGTATTTTCATGCAGGAGATATTTATTCTGCCTTGACAGAAAGGTACTGTATACTACTAATGGTCATACTATCTCTCTTACTATAAAATAATATACATAGCATTCTGGCCCTTCTTGATGGGTTTCTAGTATTTATCTAATAATAGGTTTATTCCATGCTGAAAAAAAGAAGAAAGAAAACACAACGTTTCGGCCGTGAAACCTTCTTCAAGTGTGAGAGAAGGCTCCACGGCCGAAACGTTGTGTTTTCTTTCTTCTTTTTTTTCAGCATGGAATAAACCTATTACTTGTTCCTTTGCAGCCTACGCATGCTGACGCAGCTACACACCTGAACTACTTTATCTAATAATGACACATAATCAAATTTGATTGTCTTTAATTTGATATGACTCAACAAGAAGTTGCAAACAATTTGGTCAGGATTTTCAAAATCCCTCCAAGACCAGTATGTATTGTTCAACGTTGTTAATACATTTGGCAGGACTACAATGCCCCTCTGAGAAGCGGGTTAAATAAGAAGTGGGGACCGATATTTTACAAATCAAGATTTCTTCACTGCTAGTCGCCAGTACATCTGGTCACTAAAGAAAGAAAGCACATGCCGTCTTTTAAGCAACATTCACACGCTGTTTGAGTGCGATGACGTACAGGGACATGGCATGCAAATTGTTGGAATAATGAAAGCACATGAAAAAGTCCACAGCTATGACACATTGCTGAGTCCTCATAAGGATAAAACAGCTGTCCATGGCTGCTGACTTGAACTCGTGAAGGCGGCAGTGTGGAGACCAATTTGGAACGGGGGACTGTGGGTTCAAATCCCGGTGCTGCTCTGGTACGCTGGAGCAAGGTACCACCCTCAGATGACTCCAGGGCTGTATAACCAGGGTTATCAGTGAAAATTGGGATTTTGTTCTCATTTAAATGCCCTAGTGAAATAAAGGAATAACAACACCAGCAACGCCAGCTGAAAAGCTACCTGTTCTGTCCTGACGGGGGTATTTCGCTGAATAATTTCTTTCATTTTTGTGACCAGTGAAATTGGATTTTGTGGTCAGGCGGTGTGAGAGAGCGCTCCGGATCTCTATTGCCGCCCTGAAGTCCACATCTGTCCGCATCAGTGTGGTCTAGTTCACCCGAAAGCGATAGCTTTAGTACGGACAGGGACAGACTTAATTAATACAATTAATGCAAAACACTACTGCTACAAATGTGATTGCTGTTTAATTCTGAATACACATTCACTAAAGAAGTACTGCTTCACCCATTGTCATAATTGGGGAATACATCTGATAACCTCTTTTCTTCTTGTTAAAAAGACAATGTCTAGAGTTCCTTCAGAAAAATTATTTCCATTTCCTTAGAAGCTTTCTGTCTTTTTTATTGATCATGTGAGCTTAGTCATATAAAATATACTGTACATACTATACCACACAGGGCTTGTTTGTAGCTTATATATAAAAGAGACATTATTATTGTATATTTCACATCTTCTTAAAGGTCCCGCTATTAAAAGTCACAATATTCATTATAGCCACAACATTTTAAGAACTAGAACAATATGTTAGGGAAGACGAAACAGCGACAACTGGGAAAAAAAGTATTTTAAAGAGTAAGATTTGCATTCGTTTATTTCTGTAAAAATCACATGAAACTCCTGAATTTTTTTTTCCCCACAAAAAGATGCCATACCTTTGAGCTACCATTGAGCATTGATCACTATGGCTCAGGATTGTACTCAGCTTTTTGTGACTCCTTTTCTCATCATGCAGTAGGTCCTAGATCTCCTGGCGATTTAGCAGCTCAAATCAGTGGAAAGCAGCTGGATACATCCTTCCAGACTGGGACTTCACCGGCACTGTGCTGGTGTACGGAAAACCCTTGTTTGCTAAATTTTATATTGCAGGGCTTCCCTTTCAAGTGATTTTAAAGGGAGCTCTTTCAAAGCACAGTCTTTCAATCTACTGTAATATGCAATAAAAATCCTCTCATTTGGAGTCACAAATTACATTTTGTTGCTGTATGGACTAAGCAACATTCACAGATGTATGTCAAAACATTTCTTTCTTGCACTATTATTAGGATCCTGTTAATCTGCAAAAGTAGTAGCCACCTTAATTGGTGTGAACAGAGACTTCATTGGAGGCACACAAAATGTGTAAGAACACAGCTATGAGTTTTAATACAGCGGTTTAAAGTTTTCCTGATAAACAAATTGCAAAATGACCTATTTATTTCTGTTGTATCCGAGCTGATACATAAAAGCTTTAATTCCCTCAATCTGTCAAATTATGTCCTAATTGTCTGTTTTTTACCAAGCGTGCGCGCAGGAGCGATGACTCCTGCCTTTTCCTGAATCCCATCTCTCTGGAGCAAGGAGACAAAACAAAGCCCGCAGCTGCCTAAGTCTTTTCGGAGACGCACAGCACAGAGGCACTCCTACATCATAGCCCAAACCCTCACAAATCAACCAGCGGCTTGATCACAGCACACACAGACAGACAGACGTCTATGGTAGAAAGGTACCGGTCAAAGTGCCCGAACGATGAAGGGGATTCTGGTTCTGTGAAGATGTAATTCATTCTCTTGTCCCATTCTGGTTTTTGTGTGCACTCGGATTCATGGTTGTGACGCCTCTCCCCCTCTTCCCTGATGGAAATAAGCGTGTGTGTTTTCCCTAGGTCAACCACAAATTCGACTTTGATTAAAAATCCTTCGGAAGGTTCACTTTTATTTGCAAAAGGAAAGCTGTGCCCGGAATTTAAAGGAGCTCCCAATCTTAAGATCGGTCTCGAAACTTTGCTTTGATCCCCTCTTGGGGCGACGGGTGGTCTTCACCTGTGTCATCGCAACCTGTTCCCGGGGCTCTGGGAGGAATCTAACGGACAAGGTGCTAAAGACTCACCAGTTTCCAAATTTGCAAAATCTATACAAGAAAGAAACAGCTGAACACAAACACCACTGCCAAAAAACAGATTCCTTTTTCCTTCTGCCCAATGTGTTCAGTAATGGCCCTAAACAGCATGGCAAAATCTACAGATTAAACCAAGTAAAAGACTAGATAAAAGAAAATGCAAGACATAAATGTTGCCATCATTGGATACTCACCTGGTGTCTCTTCTCTCCTTCTCTAGGGCAAAACTGTAGAAGCCTTTCTTGTGCAGTAAGAGCCAGAGACTCGCACTCAACTGCAGGGTCTGACATCATTCAACAAAAGGGGAGGTTTCCCTCCCGTCTGCAATGTGCTCTTTCTCTCCCTGCTGGTGCTGCTTTTAATGAAGCTCTTCAACCAGAGACAGCAGCAAATCAGCTTGCAACAAACAGGCAGCCAACCAGCGAAACAAACACACAAACAAGCTGGCTCCGAGAGAGGTACGCCGAGATTTTCGCAGCGCCCTGCTAATAAGCTCTATGAAGGAGAAGAGCACATTTAAAAAAAAAAAAATAATTAAAAAATAAAGATCTGCAAGAGGGGGAAACTTTCATCTGAAACCCCACCTAAAAGGCAGGAATGAGCGAACAATGAGCCAGGCAGGAAAAAAGGGCCTGAGCTCTCCTACTCACCCTGCAGTGTGTCTTGAAAGGGTCCCTGGGGACGATGGCATAGACCCTCTTTTGTGACTCTGGGTGCCCCTTCCCTGCCCGAGACGCTCCCTCCCCGCGGGGCGAGGCCAGGCAGGCGGGAGGCCGGGGCTGGTCCTTCTGCGGGGCCGGGCTGGCCAGCACGCCGGGTCCGCGGGGCTGCTGTCGGCGCCGGCGGGGGGCTCCGGTCCACTGCCTCTGGATGGTAATCAGTTCCCTGGGTGGCTGAGTCTCTGATAAGCTGCTCTTCACTCTGCCTGGCCCCCAGGGCTTTCAGTCTGTCAGTTTACCAGAGAGAAGAAAAATTAAAAAAGGAATCAAACCAGAAATCAATTAAGGCAGCTTCACCCTCTCTTTCTACATGTACACAAATAAAGCTAAAAATACATGACCATCCCCCTCCCCAGCCCCCCTCAGCACCATAATCATTCATATATATGTATGTGTGTATGAATTGATTGCGGACGCAGGTAGATTAGTATGGATGAGTCTCATTACTGTCGCTGTACGATGCACACAAGCACACTGAGTCTGAAAGAGAAAGGTCCTCCTAATGAAACTCGGGTCAAATTGGCGGATCCTGACATTTACGGTGACAATGAATGAGAAGTGAGAGCATCACACGGAGCGTTAGGAAATTCTCAGCCTAACGCCGGGGCCGACGGCTTTCCTTTTTTTTTAATTCTTTTTTTTTCCCCCCGATCAAAAAAGGAAGCTTTTAGATCCTTCCCTCCTGTTTCCATAGTGATTCATTTTCCCCCTTTCTCTTTGAGATTGGCTTGCGAGAGAGAAGGGGGGAGCCGGTCTGTGTTTGTGTGTGTGTGTGTGCATGGGTGTCGGTCCATGCCGGTGTTCTGGTGGCTGTCTGGACCCACTCACACTCCACACAGGAGTGCCAGTGTGGTTTGTCTCCCTGTACCACTTGCACACTGCCCTAGCCCATATTGTTTCGTGGTTATGAACATTGATCAATATGCATGTATTTGTTTTTTTCCAGCTGACCAAATCCTTCTCTTGCGAGATCACAAAAAAAAAAGTGACAGAAGTATTCGCAAAAGGAAAACGTGCTGTCTCTTCTCTGGGGGGGGTCTTTGGATTCTCCACATAAACCAGCTCTCATAAGACACGACACGAAAGACTTGGGAAACTGGAAACCGGGCTCCATTTTATCACAGTGCTCAAGAGGACTATGCTTTAGCTGCTGTGCCATTCAAACAACATCCGCATCAGGGCTGTAAGGGGAATATTGTGTACTGACCAGAAAAAAAGGCAACTCAAAGGATTGCACCCAAAATAAAGTCTAAATTTGTGATACTGAAATATTCAATTGGAGTTCGGGGAAACAAAAACATAACCACTTCGTTTTGAATTCTTGAAACAGACACTATTTCTGATGCTCCCACTAATGAGACAGCTTGCACAAACTCCTGTGACAACAAATGCTCCACATAAATAAACCTGTGTACCGCCCATGGTTTTGACACAGTTGGCCTTTTTAAATTTCCAATAACACATTACAAGACGGGATTTAATAATATTCAAATACCTGAACTTGGAACACGGGGACTATACACAAACATGGTCAAGGCTACAGTTTGTGACTTAAAGAGGAAGGGATTGAAAATCATAAAGAATTAAAGTTAATAATGGACACAAAACCCAGGATGGAAATAAAAAACCCAATGCAAAGCAATTTGATCTGTTTCATGCTTTACCAGTCACATCTTCTTATACAAATCATGCAGACGAAGCCAGAACTGATTTCCTGCAGTAATGTCACATTTACGGTACTTTAACTCCACATCTGCCTATTTCATTGAACCCCGACTAAGCGAACCCAGTGTTCTGCTGAAACTCACGATGCCTTGGTCTGGGCTGGTGTTCAGGAGCCTGTAGCTGCGGATTTCTGAAATGCCCCAAACCCGAAGCGCAACGGGAGTCTGATCGTCATCCTCCCACATAAATAAAAAGTTAATTTGCTCCTGAGAGGCGCGCGTGCTACAGACCGTCGAGTGTGCTAATTGTTTTAACCTGCCCTCCGGAAGACAAATGATGGGAGATGATAAATTGCAGTGAAAGGCACCACTGGATAATGAATCACTGTCGGGGGGAGCCAGACACTTCTCTTCTACGGCCTTCGAGACATACTGTACCAACCTCTCAGCCAGCCCGCTTTAGGGAGACGCAAGTTGTTAACTTGCAAGTCTGCAAGTTAAAAGGAAGAGAAAATCCAAATAATTTGTGGGCGGGCACAGAAACCGAAAGGCTGCAGTGGAATGATAATTTGGCAGCTACCTTTAATTGAATTGGATGCTGTCCTTTCTTTTATCGTGAACATGGCAGGAGCTTCATTTTCTAATCTGTCGTGTATCTTACCGTGTACCATCGCAAGGCTGAACACCACTCTTTCAGGACCCCTCTGTTTTAGACAAGCTACTGTATAGTCATTCTGGTGGCAGGTACAAAGCCATCAATCAATGTCACGGGAGTTGACTAATTGCTCGAATTCCAATGAGGTGCAGAGCTCTGAATTTGCCAGATAAATGTATAGTTAGTCTTTGGCTCCATCAATCTTTTCATTGAGATGACCAGCTTTTAATATGTTGTGCAAGGCTAACCCATCTTCAGGCGTGTTCAAGCAGAACCTGGCAAGAGACCTCTGTTGGTGAAAATACGTTAAAAATTTAGTCAAACTCTTCCAGGGGACATAAAATGTGACATTTAAGAATGAATTCAACAAGTATTTCTTTTCTTCCATAGGCTTTCTTAGATCCATCTCGGTGAAATGCCGTAAGCACAGCATGCGTACCACAGTGCATTTCTACATCTGTAATCCAGTTAGAACTGTAATTACCTCATTTCTTTCTCACCTGAGCCCTGTCCCAGCCTTTCTAGAGTCAGCATGGTTGCCAGGCGTCTATCAACATGTGGGAAGAAAGAGTCTCCGACAGCAATCACAGAGCCACACAGAGAAAGCATGCAAATTCCAACACAGAGAGAGTTCGTACCGACCTTATTTATTTAAGACAGGTAAGGCATCAGTCGCTGAAAAAAAATGAGAAATGAACAAGGGCTGGGACAGTGTCGGAGCCGTCTCCTCCAGCCCTGCTGATGATTTCAGTAAAGTGTGAAAAGTGGCTGGTCCAAGTCACTGAGGCATGACAGCTGTCCACTCTGTAAAAAAGGGCAGCGAAGGCAGCAAACAGGCAGGCTGGAGCCAAAGCTGACGGTGCATCAGAGCAGCCAACAGCAGACCTGCCGGATAGAGCCCTGTGCTGCTGCTGGACAATGAGGGAGTGTGTGCAGGTTTGTAACCAGGTGGCTTTTTAGAATACAGGAGAGTCTTGCGGTGGGCTCTCCAGTACCCTGTAAAGGCATTCTCACCCATGCAGGGTTTGCACTTTTAAAGCCTGCAGTCATGATACCTTCATGTAGCCATTCATGTTTGAAATATACACAACCTGTTCTGTTTTAAGATAGACCACAACAGGGGCTGAATAGGAAAATCATTGTGCTTATGTTTCTTTTTTTAACGAGGATTTGTTCCAAGTTGCAAGTCTGCACATCCTGTTGGAGTTCTGCATGCTTTATTCTTCTCAATGAATGTATTAAAATTCGACAGTATATCAGGTCCATTTATGATGACCCATCGATCGTGGATTTGGTTTCACCCTACACTGTCATTTTAGTCTCGTTTTACTGCTTAATTGTTTTGATGTCATTTTTGGATCCAGGAAACATCCATGCATCTATTTTCTAACCCCTACTCTATCCCAGCAAGCAATGGGCGCAAGCCAGGGCACATCCTGTATGGGACAACAGCACATCGCAGGGCAGACTCACACAAACACAGACATGCTCACACTGGGACCAATTTTCCCAGAAGCCAAATCACCTATTAGTATATCTCAGGAAGGAAACCAGAGCTCATGGAGAAAACCCAGGCAAACACGGGGAGAACATATGAACTCCACACAGATACTGTAGCACCCCAGATCCAGGAACCGAACCCAGGATCCCCGCACTGAGAGGCAACAATTTTAATACAGTTCCACCTTGCTGACCATCCAGGAAGGTGGAGTACATGTGACAGAAAAGTGTCAAATATGACCAGAGCTGGGTACAGTCGACGGAAATTGGTTTCTATAATTAAGCAATATAGAGAAATATTTAGAGTATTTAGAAAAAGAGAGTGGAATTCTAAGAAACCCTAGGTTCATCACACATAGCAGTTTTAGGAAAACCGTGCAAAATGAGAAACGTCATCCATTATCATGAGAATGTATATTCCTGGTAAGGGTAGCAGCACAGCAAGGAAAAATGTCAGCCTTAAATTTTGCTTTCTATTAGGATTTGCGAACACATCCCTGCCTAAAGTAATAAATTCACCACTGGATTTGTGCTTTGGAGTCAATGAAGCCTGATACCATGCAGGACTGGGATTATGCTGGATTAGGTAAATTATGAGCAGGGACTAATCTTGTAAAGAAATTTGCAAATAAATCAAGACGTAGCATTAAAATGATACAATTTACTACAAAGGAAGGCTGCAAATTAAAAATCCAGGGTGGGACAATGCTTTTGTACTCTTCAGCAAGGACTTTTACTCCCATTGCTCCAGCTAACATTAAATATCAATGAGTAAAAATATCAGTTACCCTTGATAAAAGTGTTATAAACCAAAAGTCATATTTTCAATATCCCCTGCTATAAAATCAGTAAACAACATTGATACAGAGCTCCTTTCAAACACCACACAGCACAATCAATGGCAAAATCCATTCCAAGTTGAGGTTTAAAAATAAAAATAGCAAATACAGTGGAAAAACTGAAGACGAGCTTCTGAGATCTTTATAAGAACAGAAAACGTTGGCTCTCCACTCCGAGCAGCTGGTATCAGCACAGGAGTCACTGTGTGTGCTTGTACCATTTTCATCACCGCACCTGTACAAAATGGATTGTTTGGTCCTGGAAGTTAACAAGAACAGAGAGCAAGGATTCATGCCACACTAAACCTATGAGTCTGTCAGCAACCTCATCTTAACTGTGCAGCAAGAAAAGGAACACAAGCCTCCCAAGAAACATTTCCAGAGGTCTAAGAACCAGATTCGTGATTAAATCAAAGCTAAGGTAGGCCTCAGATGTTTTTATTTATGTAGGAACGGCTCATCGGGTTAAAAAGTTTGAAAACTACTGGTTTGAAAAGTCTAGCCTCTCTTCAAGAAACAGATGGTAGTTTACATTTAAAAAAAAAGACCCAGGGAAGTAGCTGGAATGA